ACGACAAAACTCGCGCAGCTAGGCAGGGGTGTCGCAAAGCCGAACGCAAGTGGAAAAAAGACAAATTGCAGGTCTCTTATCAAATTTGGAAAGACTCCTGGCGTAACTTCCAGCTCACAGTAAAAGAGGCCAAAAGAGAATATCTGTCGGACCTTATTCAAGCTAACTGTCACAACCCACGCGCACTATTTAAAATGATAAATTCCGTACTCAAACCCCCTCTGCCTACTTGCTCGGATTCTTCACCCGAGATGTGCAACAGATTCCTTCAGTTTTTCATTGATAAGGTCTCTACAGCTAGGACTTCGGTCTCAAATACCGCATCTGACCCCTCTGTCCATATTCCGTGTTCAGCAGTGCTAAATTCTTTTGAAACTGTGTCCTTGAAGCTTTTGGAGGATGTAGTTCGCCAGACGAAGCCATCTGGCTCCCCCTGCGACTCTTTTCCCCCGCATTTCTTTCAGGAGGTCCTACCGAGTGTTAGTGCATCGGTCTTGGACATCATCAACAGCAGCCTCTCTTCTGGTATAGTTCCCCAACAGTTTAAACATGCTGTGGTCCAACCCTTGATCAAGAAACCTGGTCTTGATCCAGATGTGCTGTCAAATTTCAGGCCCATCTCCAAACTGCCTTTCATTTAAAAAAATTCTGGAGAAAGTGGTGCACATGCAGTTGAAATTTTTCTTGGATGAACATAACATCTTGGAGGTCTTCCAGTCAGGTTTCAAGACGATGCATAGCACGGAGTCAGCCCTGTTACCCGTTTCTAATGACATCCTGCTGGCAAATGACACTGGAGACTACGTGTGTTGGATTTAACTACAGCATTTGATACAGTGGATCACAGTATTCTGCTGACTCGTTTGCAGCACTTGGTGGGCATGGGCGGTAGCGCTCTTGAGTGGTTTAGGTCCTATTTAGCTGACAGAACCTTTTGTGTCAGCCTTGGCTGCTCTGAGTCACGCACTGCTCCCCTGTCATGCGGTGTTCCACAGGGCTCAATTCTGGGGCCTCTGCTGTTCTCGCTGTATCTGCTCCCATTGGATTCCATCTTAAGAAAATCACCACTGAACATGAAAACAAAGCAAACACTGAGGCAGAATCGTGCCCTTCGCGTTGAACGAGATGCTGCCCAACTGCGAATGGAACAGGAAGCTGCTCTCTACATTACAGAACATGCAACTGGAGGTCCTTCAAATGAAGAAATGGAAAACAGGTTCCACATCGCTCAATTACAGAAACAATTCAATAAACTAAAGTGTCATGTCCAGACTCTTTCAGATGCACACCCTGACCCCGCTTTGGACGGAACCAGAGGTCTTGCAGACTCAGAAGAATCTTCCGCCTTGCATTCGCAAGTGTTCCGAGCAGCCATTTTGAAGGGTGTTCCCAAGTCTGTAACGCAGGCCATGGAAGCGAACCCCGACCTTCCTGGTGCGGAGATTGACCGGTGGTTGTCACATCTTAAACATCATCTGAGGAGACATGCTAAAGACAAGGAGTCTAAGGTAGACAGACACAAGAGTTCCAATATATGACGTCTAAATATGTGGATAATATAATATGATTTTGCTGGCCAGCTAAAAACACATAAAATAGTGCACCTGCAGGATTACTTAGGAACTGTATAAGACGATATTGTTTGCTTAATTGTAAGTATAGTGGACATTTTCTTGTTTCTTCCTGTTGCAGGGAAGTCTTATTTTGAAGGGATGCGGAAAGAGAGAGCGACTTGTTTGACATTGACTTGATGGTGTATGTGTGTGAGTATGCAGGCGTTAAACGTCCTGTGTGTGAGGGGGACATAGACAGGAGACTTCTGAAAGAAAGGGCGGGGGTGTTATTGTAGACAAGAAATGGATGTTTGGTTTACTGTGTTGACCTGAATCACAGTGTTGAGAGTTTGTACGATGTACAGTTTTGGATACTTATAGAAGGTGAAAGGCAAGTGAAAACAATGATGGTGAGACGAGACGTAACTTGAAGAAGAAAGAAAGTTTAGCATGTTGAGAATAACAATAAGAGGAG